CTGATCATCACAGGATGTAAAGAAAACTACGTTTAAATGTCTCAACAACTGCTTTTATGTCTCCTATCCCAAAGGCGCGTTCTCGGCTTTCTCAATCTTGCTCATGTCCCCGTGGTACTCAAATTGGACCTGAACTCAACGACATGTGTCAACTAAACCAGATACGTTACCCCTACCCCCAGTCTGGGCCGCACAGACATGAAAATACTGGCCTTGGGGACAGGCCTCTTTCGACTGGAATATTTTATGAGCATTTGTCGTTGGGCCATGAATGCATTCGGCGCTGAATCTATTATCATTTTGCCCTATGAGCCCAGGACTGTCATTCATCTCGGACAGGAATATGCTTTTTGAAACAAGTTGGAATTATGTCAAAAACATCATTGGGCCCCCATTTTGCCGTCGTCGTCGACAGCTTAACCGGCTTGTCCTAAATGTATGAATCCAGTTCGAATCCATAATTATTTTTCGTTTCATAAGTAGGCGTTTTGAGATTGCCAACAGATCGGATAGAATAGCTGCATTTAGCATATTTCGTTTAACTTTATGAATGATTAGTAGTTTAATTTTTACGTAATCATATAAGTAGTCCTCGTAATTCCTCTGAATTTCGCATAGCCTTGCTTCCCAAAAGGTATTCTCACTTAGGCTGAACTGGACTGAAGTTTCGACCCCGATTTAGTGTCATCAACACCTCCAAGGGCACTCCTAGTAGTTTGACTTATCGGTTAACATATCGAGAATATACGCTGCACTATCAAAACCCGGGTTCTAGTCCCTTTGGGGGTACAGATAAGACCAGTTTAGGCGAAGTCGAAACTGCAGCCCATCCCAGCCTGGAGGAGAATACCCCCTGGAAAGCAGAACGAAGTGAAATCTAATGTAAATTCAATTACGAATCCTGCCTCAACTTAAAGGAAATAGGGTGAATACATCCATAATTGTCACAGGTTCCAAACAGGCTTAACTGAAGCTGTAGAGTTCGCGTCACATGTCATAAATTTGAGCTTTTCATGAGGAACAGTCTGTTCGTGGGGAAATATTTCCATCGAGATAAAAATTCGGCAGCGAAAAAGAAGGTGTACTGAAGTGTTCTTTGTTTTATTGTTTCCAAGTAAAAGTTTGTTATTCAAACGATGCAATGGATACATCTTTTCATGAATGTCTTTCCACGCCCTTTATCCTCACATATCGCACTACCGATTTTGTTTTGAGGCGTGTCCTAAAAGCTTCACCCATCCAAAATGAAAGCATGC